GGTTCGAACCTCGCCGGCACCAATGAAATTGGTAATTGAAATTTTAAGTGCTGATTTACCACATGCTCGGCGGTGAAGGAAAATATCGTGAGGAAACCGGCATGTTTGAGAAATAAGAAAAAAAATTGGAAGACATGTGAAGTTCCCCAACACGCATTGGGGAAGCGCAGCGGACACTTCCTTGCCCTAAAACCCTCTCAGCTATGTGGGAGGCCTGTGTCCAGTTGTGGGACGTATATTATAGGCTTCGCCTGGATAGGATTTTCAGATAAAATATAGCTTAAATCCCTCCTTGCATTAGGTCTGACTGAGGACTGAGGTCCTCCAGCGATCGAACTCAACCAAGCCATCCTTATTATATGTTCTTACAACCCATCAAATAATTTCATGGTAATTACTTCTCAATAATAAATCTGTCTTCTCTCATTAATTGTTCTGCTCCAAAAAACTGGCACGTCCAGTGCAAGTTGACCTCTCGTTGACACGGCATTGCATTGTTTACGCGGAGCTAAGATGCTGTTTTATCAGGCTAGATAGAGATGAAAATAAATGTGACTCGTTTCTGGTAATTTCAAATTAGGTACGTTATTAATGTGCGTTGACATAATTTAATTAAGCAGTAGGTTTGTGCATTATTTTAAAAGTAAAGTATATTTTAAAGTAAATCTAAAAAATTAAAAATCTCCGAAATATAAAGAGTTGATGTTCTTAAAAAGGCTAAACAGATTTTCTTAGCTGAAGAATACTCTCAATTAAAGCACCATTCAAACGAAAAACACTTAAGCAAAATGGGTTCATCCGTTCAGAAGCTATGATGTTACGGACAGACACGCAGATACACAGATACACACTACAAACTTATAACACCCATCTGTTTTCGTCGGGGGGTTAAAATGGTAGTGGTTGCGATACGATAGGTTCAACCACAAGGTCGTTCAGCGAGCTATGAACAGTTTATCTGCATGATAGACTTCATAATAATGATCCGCAGTAGAACAAAAGTAACCGACATACCAGCATATCAGTAAGCTGAAGTGGCAATGGGTCGGCCGTGTAGCTTGAAGAACCGACAACCGTTGTTGAAGAAAGGTGCTCGAGTGGCAGACTCGTAACGTAAAGCGAGGTGTATCAGCCCCCCACTAGATGGAGTGACGACCTGTTACGACTTGCAAGAAGTTGTTGGATGGAGGTGGCTGAGAACCGTGCTTTGTGGCATGCCTTGGGGGAGACCTATGTTCAGCAGTGGACTTGTGATGGGCTTTAATGATGATGATGACAGGTTCTCAGGTAGTCTGAAAAGCAAGCCCCACGATCGTGACGTGATAAATGCAGTACAGATTCTAAGACCAATACAGTATAGACTCAACAACTCTAAGACTTCGATCTGGGTACATACCAATGAACATCTTCGCATTTTTGTTAAGAAAGGCCGAATCTTCTAACCTCTAACTGTGAATGTGGTCAATTAGAGGATGTATTTTGCATATTTTAGTGGACTGTATTCGTGTGGAGAGAGATCGAGTAAATTGTTGCAGTAAATTTAATGACACGAGGAAGCCGGAATAGTCAATTTGGACTTAAAGGAAGATAAACAAAAATGTAACTACAATGAGTGTTTTATAAAATCCTTTTTAAATAAATAAAGATTTAAAAAAATGCAGTATAGCTATGCTAAATCAATATCTTGTTAGGGTCGGATGCCGTTACAGAAAAAAGAATAATCACAACATACTCAGCCCCGAAAAAAAGAAATCGCCACTTTACGACGTGACTTACTGACTAGACGGTAGGACTCCTTTAATGTCTTCGTGGGTACCAACCACCATATTATACTCTTCACAGGTAGTATCTTATAGGCTATAAGGCATTCCATCTTAGTCCTCAGATGTGACTACGCACCTGTTCTTTGTTTGAAGTTAGTTGCAGATGTCCATGGGCTGCAGTAAGCACCATCAGGTTGCACAGTAAGTTCGTTTGTCACTTCTGTCCTTAGTGTCGTGGAACACTCGGAAAGAAAAAGTGCGAGAGAGATGGATATTATTCCATCTCGCTCGCACTATAGGGGGTTCGTGACGGAAAAATCTCACACTTTTTAGGGTTCCGTACCTCAAAAGGAAAAAACGGAACCCTTATAGGATCACTTTGTTGTCGGTCAGTAGTGTAGTTGTACCACTTCTAGACCACCTGAGTCAGACGTGGTTCAACGACGTTCGTCGACACCCGATTCTAAAAAAAAAAAAAAAAGGTTTTGGCATGCTCTGATCACGAATCCGCGGTCCATTTTTGTGTAGAATGCACGGTTCCGGAGATGTGTAGATCAATTAGCTAATATCTAATTGATATCCGGTAAGGGCCTCCACCGTCATTAGCGTCCCATTGTTCCTATTTCTATTGTTCTATTGTTCATTAATCACCTTCATTGCAGCGTGTGCGTCGACTATATCAGTGCTATTGTATTATATTTCTTTGTTCCTAATTATACAACGCTAATCTGAATCATCAATAAAACACATTACATAATTTTGTTACAATTTTTATTTATAAAATACAAAATCTTATTAATTATTATCTATAAAATAGGAGCGAAACATCTCATCCACTAAAATATCGTTGTACAATGTGTTCCTTGTAAATATACTCGTAAAACTATGTATTGAACATCCTTGAAACTTATATAGCAAATACATTAAGCAATATTCGCCACAAACTGAAGTCCACTCATTCTGAATCCTATCAACATTCCAGTTCCATCTTTTACAATTCCTTTTTAAAAACTCTAGATGATATCGTACAGGTGATCGTCCATATGAATCAAAATATTGACCGACGTCATTCGTATCGATATATAAAGCTACCCAATGTGACCCTGGTTTATCATCTGTATCCAAATTACATATTATATACGTTGGTACGTGGGTATACATAGGCAGTCTATTAGCTGCATAAACATTATTTTCTAGACTGGGGTGAAACTTTTTCAGATGTTGTTGTACATCTAGTGTATCCATGATATTACTGCTATTAGTAGATTATTACAGTACCAATCTACTCAATGAATAACATAGGAATGGTCAATTATAGTGATTTCTAAATATTAAATTGCATTTTTGTGTTATACAAATCGTACTTGAGTCATTGATCACCAAACAAAACACAATACGAAGAAATGTTGAGATAGGCAACGGAAATGTGAGATAAACTGATATGTTTCTAAATATTAAATTGCATTTTTGTGTTATACAAGTCGTACTTGAGTCATTGATCACTAAACAAAACACAATACGAAGAAATGTTGAGATAGGCAACGGAAATGTGAGATAAACTGGTTGACGCATAAAGTAATTATCAACTCATTACGGAAATACTTTAGATTAGAATTTTTACGTACTGGTGGTATATAAGACCAACAGACGCAGTCATCGAGTTAGTGTACGGTCGTTTGGCTACAGTGGATCTATCAATAGTACATTTGTGTTACTTCAATACACCAAAGGCTATGGATGTAAGTGTTTATTCTATTGACTAAATTACTTTTTTTCTGTTATTTTCATGTGTGTGTATTATTTTATTTAAATATTGTGTATGTATATGATTAAGCCGTGGTAACTCAGATGGTTAGCGCTAGCTGTAAATTTCACAGTACGCGACCCGGGTTCGATCCCCGCCAGCACCAATTAAATTGTTAATCGCAATTTTAAGTGCTTATTACCACGTGCTTGGTGGTGAAGGAAAACATCGTGAGGAAACCTGCATGTCTGAGAAAATTTCGAAGGCATGTGAAGTTCGCCAACACACATTGAGGGAGCGCGGCGGACATTTCCTTGCTCTAAAACCCTCTCAGAAATGAGAGGAGGCCTATGTTCAGCAGTGGACTTTAATAGGCTGTAACTTTAACTTTTTTAACTTTTATGATTAAGTGTTAACAAATTGATATTAACATGATAACTGTGTTTTTGCAGAAATCATTGAGCTTCGATGAAGATACCTATAAACAGTATTACTACTCGCCACTCTCCCCTCAAGAAGAGAGTGATAACCTCGTCATTAATAATAACACATGCGATGGTGGAAAAAGAAAATCGCAATCGATTGATCATTTTTTTGAAGCTGAATCAAAAATAAAAAAGAGGAAGCTGTTATCATCAACCGTAGCACGAGCCGCTAGAGATGGTGTATCATACATTTCTACTAATTCTGACGACGGAGACCAAGCGACGCATCTCATCAAAATTGAAATGTACGATATGAAGAAGCTATCCAAGATTCCAACTACTGATCATTGGAAACATGCTTCCACGAGAATTAAATATTACGTAAAGACTAATAAGGATAGCATCTACGACAACACAAACGCCCTCGTATACAATATAACAAAGACAATAGCAGAAAGTGAAAAAGTTAAAAAATACTTTTTTAACAATGACAGTCATTAGCTGATCATTAGTGAATGTGATTCTGTTTACTTCAATTACAGGAAGACAAGAGCGGAAGGAAGAGATGAGTGTGGCATACGTGTACAAAACACATAATTGAATAACAAAACTACAACACTGAGTGGAGAAGAAAACGAGAAGAGTATGCAGTACTCAAGAGCTGAATATCCATTCTTCAGTTCAAAATCTAGCCGTTTGCTTAGTTTCGAAAACTGGCCTCTCGTTATGCGACAGAAACCTGAAGATCTTGCAGAAGCTGGTTTCTTTTATACTGGCCATGCAGACGGGACCAAGTGTTTCCATTGTGGTGGTGGTTTAAAAGATTGGAAAGATGATGATGATCCTTGGCAGCAGCATGTTCAGTGGTTTAGTCAGTGTGCTTATGTAAAATTTCAACTCGAACAGTGTTTTGTATTAGATTAAATAGAAGATTTATAAAGAAATAAAAAAAAAATATATTGCATACAATTTGTTTTATTTAATTTTATAACGTTTCACATAGTTACATACACACAAAATGCATTACACATAACACATAAAATCTAACACACAACACATATTATAACCTTAACTACTATAGTCTACAGTAACATTTCTGTTTTTATCTATCTCAATAATATTATCAAACTCAGCATAAACTATACAGTTAATTGTTTGTATTAATGAGGATTCAAATCGTACTTCTATTCTTACACTACCATGCTTTATGAGATTCCAATGAGTTGATGAGTTAGCTGATAAATCAGGAGTTAAGTCAAATGCTAATAGACAGTAACCTTTGCCATACTGTTCACAAGAGATTCCATTTCCTTCATTAAGAAAGTGAATACCAGTTCCCGAGAATAGAGTATGATATGCTGATGTAAATATGCTATTATTAAAAGATGGTTGCAAAGCTTTTGAAGGTATTTGTTGACCATCAATATATAAGCTGAAAGAATTAATACCATAGTTTTCAAAGTTAAATGGATTTTTAGTAAGGGAACCATTAAATGCAGAATTGTTCACAAATCCAATTATACATCTTTTCGGTACCTGTCCTAAAAATATATTATCAAGAGTTTTTCCTTGAACACCCGAAGGAATTGTTAAAACTTTTACTTCAGCTCGAGTAATAGGATATTTAGCAGTGGTAGAAGCTAAAACTTTTTGATGTGCGAGTAATACACTTGGATTAATTCGTGCTCGTCGAACAATAAGAGTTGCGTCCGTAATGCAAACTTTAAACTTTACATCGTTTGACCCAACAATTAAATTAAAACTCTCTCTTGATCGAACCAATTTAACACTCATTTCAACACCATTAATTAAAAATTTATCTTGGTTAAAAATGTCACCGTGAAGATGACCAATCATTTCTATTTCCTTACTTTCACTAATCAATTCCTGTCTTTTAACAAATCCTATGTTTTTACCATCTGTAGAATCCATTTTTCTTGCTGTATCCTCATACCAAAGACTACAAGTAAGATGAGATTGTTTAGCAGCAGGGGCATAGTTTAAAAGGGTTTCCATGTATGCTCGATATGCATAGGTATTATTAGGTGGTGATACAAGTTTTTGGTTTAAATAAACATCAAGTTGACTAAAAAGTGAATGCAGCCAATTATTTACAGGTGCTACTATTGTAGTAGATACCAAGTTAGTTGAATCTTGATTTAATACTTTTGCCTTTATGTGGAGTAATGTATGAGACAAATCTATGTAGTCATCGCCGGTCCCAGGAACTTGAAACTCGATAGGTCCATCATCACCAAGAGATGAAATTGGTTTATAATGAATCCACAATCCATTTTCAATGCTAGTTTGTGTAGACGGTAGTGCAAACAAATCCAATTCTGACTTAACGCACTCACAAGAATGATTATGAAGGAAAGACATATTTAGTTTGAAAATATATCTTTGATATTTTTTGGTTTTAGACAAAGTTTTTTCGCAGCTTTCACTTTAGCAGTTAATGGTGGAATGAACGATGTCAATCGTTTTCTTTTAGTTTTATACCCAGATCCAGTCATGTTAAACTGATCAATTTTCTCATCAGCCTTTCGTTTTAAATTCGTACTAACTTGCTTTAGACGATCTTTTATTGAGGCTTCCATAGGACGGGCTTGAACCATATCCGATAAAAGTCCTACTCCAGCGCTTAATGCCTCCTTACCAATCACTCGAGCACCACTTGAAAGTAAAGGTAAAACTGATCTGAATAACCCCCCTAAGAAGCTCCCAATACCATGACCGCGTTGATATGGTGAACCCTTATAAATTACTCCAACTCCTGATCCAGCTTGATGTGTATAATAATTTTCATATGGACATTTATGATGATCACGAAGAGAATTCATTATTATAATTTTCGGAAATGTAGTTTAATACACACGGTTCCAAACTGGAATGGTATTTTTTGTCCTGTACTCGATCTTATAACTATTTCCAGCGTATCAAACTCTCTTCGCATAACAGGTAAGTAGTGAGGTTGAGAGAAAACGTGCATTTTATTTGCACCATAAATGTATTTTGTAGGATCTAATGAAATGACTCTTAATAAAGGAGTCATAACATCACCCACAATCTGAGGATCGATAATGTCGCAATATAGAAATAGTTGAGATGGTAACCCTAAGTGTAAATTAGCAGGACACTTTCCAAAATTTCTCTCTAGGAGATTTTTATTTGGTTCATAACCTAGCTGTAAACTTAATTTGGGTGATAATGTTACGGATGTTATATTTTTATCCAATACCGAAATAGACACAAATTTTGTTATTTCATCATAGCGAAATTTCAAGTTCTCTCCGATACCATTTAACACTCTTAAAATATGCTCAACGTTATCATAGTTGGTAGCTGGAATATGTTTTTTGTAGTACACTGTGGATGGTTTATCTTCATTAGGCATTAACATAGATTTTGTAATGTATATAACATTTTCATGGTCTTGAACAGTAAACATGGTACATGGATATTGAAACTCGACAACTCCAACCGACCATTCACCTTCTAATTTTATAGCTTTTGGTAATTTCGTTGAAAAATTTGTGGTCTTGTTATCAGGAAAGTATTCCATTGAACTATTGCTGAGCAAAGTTAAATAGAAACTTTCTTTATTCATATTTCTTTTAAACTAGAAGCTAAAATCCAACTGTTAAATTTATCTGGATAACCTTTCCACTTCACTAATACTTCTTTTCTGTTACCTGAATAACGAGTGTCAATTATTTTATCTATTTTATGTTGTGAGGTGGGGTTGTAAGTGATTTTCTGTAATTCTCTTTCATAAAAAGTACCAATTATTGGTTCATTTTGTAAATCTGTTATTGTATAAACAACCCATGGAGATCTATCAATTATTGAAGATATAATAAATATTTCATCACTCCAATTTGATTCATATCCTTTTTGGAATACATGTTTATATTTAGTTATTCGAACATAATCACCCACATTGAAATTTGGTTTAGGATTTTCTAAAGAAAGTTTTTTTGACCGTCTATCATAAAGATTAGTCCAAACTGTCATAATATTGTTGGAATTTACATCACATGGGCACATCTTAATACTAGAGTGAAAGCTGTGATTATAAGAGTATATTAAATCTTGTAAAACATCTATATATCTATAAGTATTATTATGAGTGAAATAACGCCACATTTTCATTTTTAGTGTTCTTTGAAATCGTTCAACAATACTGGCCTTAATGTCAGGATTGTTAGTGGTATAGTAATTAATCTTTTTGGATTTAAAGTATTTTTGTACATCTTTTGAAACAAATTCTGTACCTTTATCGGATTGTATGTGAGTAGGTGTTAAATTACTTTCAGTAAATATACTTTCAAAACATTCTTTAGTTGTTTCTGAGTTTTTCTTTTTCATTGGTCTTGCAAAAGCATATTTACTAAATACATCAATAACACAAAGTATATACTTGAAACCATCATTATATTGAGAATAAGTTCGCATATCACTTAAATCAGCTTGCCACAGTTCATTAATATTTGATAGAATGTACCTATTACGCGGGAATTTTTTTCGAATAGGTTTATGTAATGTGTATGTTTCTTGTGATTTTAACCATTCCTTTACTTGCTTTTTATTCATTTTACCCTTCATGGCTTTTGATAATTTATCAATACTACCAAAACCAGCGGGATTAGATGGATCATAATAAATCCTGTTAATTTCTTCTAGTACGGGGTCCATTTTTCCCACTCAAGTCCTTTACGTATTTTAGTTGTAGACTTTTTATCTCTACTGCCCGGTGTAGAAAACTCTTGAACTTCAATCTCAGAGGGTTTGTTCAGATCTTTTGCTTGAAATTGGTTAATAAACTCACATCTCCTTGGATTTCCAATATAAGTAAGTGGTACTTTAATATCTTTTAATGCTTCAGCAAATCTAACCCACCCTACCGGATCACTTCTTTTTAGGGGTCTTAGTGAATCATTTATTAAATCAACAATATTACTTCCAGGAATTTTTTCACTATCAATTATGACTGTACCTTCATTATCCCAATATATTTTACTTTTACTTGTTTCAACTAAGTTTAATAATAACTGCCCTTTTTTATGATAAGTTTTTGGTATTAAACTGAGTATTTGAGCTGGTGTGTAAAGTGGATTTTCATCATTTTCTTTACTTTTAATGGATCGATTCTCCTCCAGCAAAGATTCAATATCAACTGAAGTTTTTAGATCTCTATCTTTATTTTTAAAACCAATTTTTGACTCATTTGAATCTTCATTAGATGTATCAGAATAAATTGGTAATTTGAGTGGTTGACGATCCTCTTCGGTAAAATGAAGGTATCTTTGCAGTGTTTGTAAATATAATATCCATTTCTTTCGGTCTTCCGTCTTACTATTCATAATATTTTGCATTTCAATATCTAATCGAGATAAATTACTATTAACCTTATTTTCTTGTTTTAATTTTTCAATCAATCCAGGTTCGATAAGTATCATTTTCTTTGCATTTTCCATGTTAACTGGCTAGTCCACTCACTAATCCACTCAATATTGCACCTAATATTGTTGGTAAGAAAGCCCCTCCTTTTTGTATAATTATATTTTTTCTTAGTTTATGTTTACACTTACGTACTAGTTTACGGAGTATGTTTTTATGTTTATTCAATTTTTGTTTATCCTGATCTTTAAGAGGTACTTTTCCTTGTAAAACGTTATGAATACACTCACAAATACAGTTAATTTCTTCTTCATCACACGTTTTAAGTAATGCTCTTTGATATTTTGGTTTAAGCGTATGCAAAGCGGTTAGCAAATGTTTATACGTTGTGAGTCGACGATGCATCATTTAGCAATGGTATTTCAATTGTTTGATTCTTGGTGTATTTAAACTCTTTTGTGGGGACGTAGACTGTACAGAAACCATTAAATGGAAAGACATTTGTCTTGATACGACAAAAATCATTGGTATTCTGTTTTAAATCTACCATTAAATATCCATGCGCCTCTAGAGTTGCATCCCTGTAGGCATCTTCAATGAATTTTGGGTTATCTGGTGATACTTGTCTTGCTAAATATCTTATTTGAGTTTTATCTCGAGGGTTTTTAAAATATATTATATAACTTGAGTTTAAAGATATGTCTCTTTGTCCTTTACCCTGATGAAATAAATTTTGTGTTAGATAAAATACACTAAGATTCCTGTGATGACTACCTTTTGTAAATATATCCACAATTCTTCCATCGGACTCTCTCATTAGATCATCAATAATAACAAGATGTGGGTTTTCACCATCAAACATATTAAGATTTGGAATTCCTTGATGATAGTTAACATTTGGTAAATTATATAATGGTTGCATTTCATCAAAGCACCATGTGATCTGATTAAAATCACAATTACATATTTCTGTAACTGATTTTATGAAATTTGTTACAAAATTTGACTTCCCACACCCACTTGGTCCTGCCACAATAGCAGTGAACGGATGGATAAAGTGAAACATAACACACGTCTAAAGTTCAAAGGGGTGAAATAAAAAATGAAAGTGTTGGTGTAAACAATTAATATATATTCCAAAAATTATATAAAACAGAATTATCTGTATACTATTTCTAACACAATTAGTACATCATAATTTTACAATTAACTCAACCTCAAATAAATAGAAACAACAATTAGTACATCATAATTTTACAATTAACTCAACCTCAAATAAATAGAAACAACAATTAACTTAAATTATTTACAATAAAACAATGATTAAATATGTAATAAACTACGTCATATTATAGTATTATCATAATTTTACAATCAATATAAATTTTTCTTAAACGCAGACATAAAAGTAAAAACTATCAACACTTAACGCAGTTTATAATGACCCGAAGCTAATGTTTCAATATTATTATCTAAAATATGTCTCTTTGTGTCATTATATGATAAACCTATCTTATTTAATTTTTGTGTGAAAATTGTGTGTTAAATTGATTTAAATCTAAGCATACTATAATATTGCACTTTTTTATTAAATAGAGAAGACTTATAACTATTCATTGTCATCTTTTTAGTGATACATTTATTTACCCCTTTTGCCTTGGCTATAGTCTTATTCTCTAAGTTAAAAGCGTACATTTTGGATCGTAAACCCACAAATTCTTTCATGATTTTACCATTATTTTCATCTTTAAAAAAACCTAATTTCTTTTTATTTAATTTTGGATATTCAAAAATATTATTTGTATCATAATCTGAGGTATCAAAGTATGATGAAAGGTCAGGTTTTATATCAGTGTAAAAATCATTTGTAAATATATGATATATTAAACTATCCGTATCTGTATACAATAATTTGATTTTACTAAACTTTTTAATCATATAGTTATAATGAAAATCATACATTAATGTTTTTGAAATAT